ACTACTACTACTACTACTACTACTACTACTACTACTACTACTACTACTACTACTACTACTACTACTACTACTTCATAACAAATAACCACAACATCCACTACCACTAACACCATCACCACCTCAACAACAGATACCACTACTACCACAATCACAGTTGGAAACCAAGAGTGTCCATTAAACCACAATTAGTAAACCAAAACATCTATGAAAAACCTAAAACCACGAAAGATTTTACGGCAAAAAAAAGACTTTAACAGCAAAGATATAACTACTAAGTGACCATAAACCAATCACGTTTATTAAAGCCAGCAACAATATTAAACCAAGCTCAAAAAATACCTTAAACCAATCATCAAAACTCGAATGCTTAAACCAACCTCATTAAACCTCGAGTGCTTATACCAACCTCACCAAACTAACAAAAACGTTAAACCAACCTTACTGAACCAACAAAACAACCCTAAACCAACCACACACACAACCAACTTGGACATTTAAACCAACCAGGCCCCATAAAACCAGTGGCCACCTTAAACCAACAGACAACCATTAGTTAAAACGACACAAAGATCGACCCACCGCCAGAAAATGTAAGAGTCAAGCTATTTTAGAAGCTAACATTTACTGAAAGCTTAAGAGGGGGAGTGCGGGGAGAAAGGATAAGAGGAAGAGAAGAAAGGATAAACGAGTGAAAGCGAAGAAAGGGTAAAAGAGAGAACACAATGATAGGCAGAGAGAAAGTGAGGTAAAACAAATAAAGACATGAAAGAGAGTTGAAGGAGAGAGAGAGAGAGAGAGAGAGAGAGAGAGAGAGAGAGAGAGAGAGAGAACAATTAAACCACCCTAAAACTATTTTGGGAGGATGAGGGTTAGGTTAAGATATGGTAGGTTAGATTTAGGTTAGGATAGAATAGGTTTAGGTTAGGTTAAGTTAGCATTAAGGTAGTTACTCTTCAGGTGAAATAAGCTGGGGCGATGATTCTTCAGGTGATCCAATAATAATAATAATAATAATAATAATAATAATAATAATAATAATAATAATAATAATAATAATAATAATAATAATAAAAATAATAATAAAAATAATAATAATAATAATAATAATAATAATAATAATAATAATAAAAAATAATAATAATAATAATAATAATAATAATAATAATAATAATAATAATAATAAAATAAAATAATAAAAATAATAATAATAATAATAATAATAATAATAATAATAATAATAATAAAATAAAAATAATAAAAATAATAATAATAATAATAATAATAATAATAATAATAATAATAATAAAAATAAAAATAATAAAATAATAATAATAATAATAATAATAATAATAATAATAATAATAATAAAAATAAAATAATAAAAAAATAATAATAATAATAATAATAATAATAATAATAATAATAATAATAATAATAATAATAAAATAAAATAATAAAAATAATAATAATAATAATAATAATAAAATAAAAAATAAAATAATAATAATAAAATTAATAATAATAATAATAATAATAAAATTAATAATAATAACAATAATAATAATAATAATAATAATAATAATAATAATAATAATAATAATAATAATAAGCGCAGGAGAGCAGGAGGTGGCGGAGGACGGGAAAGGTGTGAAGGAGGGGGGGGGGGATCAAAGGCCGCTAAAAAGGATCACAGCATTCATAGAGCTTACTGACGCAGGTATTATAGTAAGCAAGGATATAATAAATGTGCACAGGGGTGACAGTGATGGCACAGCGGTGAAGGCGTCCGCTGCGCCACAACACAGCACAAGGCGCCATAACCCTACACCATGACATAACGACACATCACATGAGGTTACAATACGTCCCTTTTGTTGTTGTTCAAGTTGACCATCGTGTTAAAGGACGGATGTACTGTACTCTACGGACACATGGACGCAGGAGCCTAGAAACCAGATGATACTAAACGTTATATAATAATTCCTTGAGAGAAATGTACAGTATTTATCAGGTGCCACTTAGAGAGCTCAGTCACGTCAATATTGTTGTTATGGTTCACTCTGTATCTCTGGCTAAATAAACTGTTTCAACATAGGAAGGAAAGGTAAGCCACTACTGTTACCCCTCGCTGAGACAACACACAACTGTAGTGAGGACTGTGACGCCGTGTAGTGAGGACTGTGACGCCGTGTAGTGAGGACTGTAGTGAGGACGCCGTGTAGTGAGGACTGTGACGCCGTGTAGTGAGGACTGTGACGCCGTGTAGTGAGGACTGTGACGCCGTGTAGTGAGGACTGTGACCGTGTAGTGAGGACTGTGACGCCGTGTAGTGAGGACGCCGTGTAGTGAGGACGCCGTGTAGTGAGGACTGTGATGTAGTGAGGACTGTGACGCCGTGTAGTGAGGACTGTGACGCCGTGTAGTGAGGACTGTGACGCCGTGTAGTGAGGATCAGACGCCGTGTAGTGAGGACTGTGACGCCGTGTAGTGAGGACTGTGACGTGTCGCCCGTGTAGTGAGGACTGTGACGCCGTGTAGTGAGGACTGTGACGCCGTGTAGTGAGGACTGGACGCCGTGTAGTGAGGACTGTGACGCCGTGTAGTGAGGACTGTGATGCCGTGTAGTGAGGACTGTGACGTGTGAGTGAGGACTGTGACGCCGTGTAGTGAGGACTGTGACGCCGTGTAGTGAGGACTGTGACGCCGTGAGGACTGTGACGCCGTAGTGAGGACTGTGATGCCGTGTAGTGAGGACTGGACGCCGTGTAGTGAGGACTGTGATGTGTAGTGAGGACTGTGACGCCGTGTAGTGAGGACTGTGATGCCGTGTAGTGAGGACTGTGACGCCGTGTAGTGAGGACTGTGACGCCGTGTAGTGAGGATGTGACCGTGTAGTGAGGACTGTGACGCCGTGTAGTGAGGACAGACGCCGTGTAGTGAGGACTGTGACGCCGTGTAGTGAGGACTGTGATGCCGTAGTGAGTGACGTGTGTGATCAGACGACGCCGTGTAGTGAGGACTGTGACGCCGTGTAGTGAGGACTGTGACGCCGTGTAGTGAGGATGTGACGCCGTGTAGTGAGGACTGTGACGCCGTGTAGTGAGGACTGTGATGCCGTGTAGTGAGGACTGTGACGCCGTGTAGTGAGGACTGTGACGCCGTGTAGTGATGTGACGCCGTGTAGTGAGGACTGTGACGCCGTGTAGTGAGGACTGTGACGCCGTGTAGTGAGGACTGTGACGCCGTGATAGTGAGGACTGTGACGCCGTGGTGAGGACTGTGACGCCGTGTAGTGAGGACTGTGACTGTGAGGACTGTGATGCCGTGTAGTGAGGACTGGATGCCGTGTAGTGAGGACTGTAGTGAGGACTGTGATGTGTGGTGAGGACTGTGATGCCGTGTAGTGAGGACTGTGATGCCGTGTAGTGAGGACTGTGACGCCGTGTAGTGAGGACTGTGACGCCGTGTAGTGAGGACTGTGACGCTGTGTAGTGAGGACTGTGACGCCGTGTAGTGAGGATCAGACGCCGTGTAGTGAGGACCGTGGACGCCGGGTAGTGAGGACTGTGACGCCGTAGTGAGGATCAGGACGCCGTGTAGTGAGGGACTGTGACGCCGTGTAGTGAGGACTGTGACGCCGTGTAGTGAGGACTGTGACGCCGTGTAGTGAGGACTGTGACGCCGTGTAGTGAGGACTGTGACGCCGTGTAGTGAGGACTGTGATGCCGTGTAGTGAGGACTGTGACGCCGTGTAGTGAGGACTGTGACGCCGTGTAGTGAGGACTGTGACGCTGTGTAGTGAGGACTGTGACGCCGTGTGAGGAAGGTAGATACTCAGGGGAACACGCATTAGTCTTGGTCACTTTAAAACCAAAGATAGAGAGAACGAAGGACCCGGGTTCTCAGAGGTCCGTCAGTAAACTTCCCCCTTCAGGAGCCTCCGACGTGCGCCACTAGTTCAGGCAGGAGAGTCACCGTGAAATTTAGAGAACAACTTAAAGCTGTAACTAAAGTGTGTCGGTTAAAGACGTTCTCATATCACCAGTTCAGGGAAAATTCAGCGAACGAATTTTTGAGAATCCATATTTGTGTCGAAGAGTAATGAAGTGATTTACATGCATCCTCACCATCCTCACATCAACACTGTGGAATAAAATTTAACATAGGAACTTTTGAGAATTTCTCCTTATCTCACACCTTAAGTGAGTTACAGGAGTTCCCACATCTGCAGTTAAGAGAAAATTTCACGTGCGCATTTTTGAGAATAAGAGACAGCAGATTTTTCGCTCTGAGAATCACATTGTTGAGATGACGAGGAAGATGCAGAGTGGTGGAGGCCGGGAGATGAATATTGGATGGAGAGAGGGGAGAGAGGGGCGAGGGGGAAGAGGGGTGTACGGTTAAAGGAAGGGAGGAAGGGAGGTGAAGGAAGGGAGGTGAGGGAGGTGAAGGGAGGGAGGAGGGAGGAGGGAGGAGGATGTATGGTTACAGGGAAAGAGAGGGAGGGATATATGATTTCATGGATGGCGGAAGAAGGGATGGAGAAAGGGAGGGATGCAAAATATGTCTAGACAGGAGAGAGGAGAGGAATGGATGGATGGATAGATGGATAGATGGGATTGAAGGCGTGGAAGAGGAAGGGAAGCGTGAGTGGGTGTAAGATGGCAATTGGAAGGGAGAGAGATGTGGATGGATGAAGAGAGAGAAAAGGAGGAAAAGGCAGGAACAATTGAATAGATAGAAATGGAGGGTGGGGGGCGAGGGATGGATGTTTGGAGGGCAAAAACATATACAATTCAGCTATGAAGTAAAGAATATATAAGTTCAATTGTTTACTCTAAAACAAAACGCACATAACATCAATCTAATATAGTTCAACAAAACAAACACAGCTGCTTACTAATAAACCATGACAATCAGCTGTTTTATATCAACAAAACACACGTGGCAACTTGGCAATCTGCTATCTTATATCAGCAAAAGCAATCAGCTGTCATATATCAACAAAACACACGTGACGATCAGCTGTTTCACTTCAATATAAAAGACATTACGTCAGAACCCAGGTGAGAGACATCTGAATGGGCCGGTGTTGACAACAGTGAGGCAAGAGTGCCAGGCCAATGCAGATATTCCCTGCACGATTGGTTAACAACACAGAGGTGAATGAATTAATAAAGAGGCCTTGTGCTGGTTGAAAGCTGAGGGTGCGTAATGTGATCAAATTAATCTGTGTGTGTGTGTGTGTGTGTGTGTGTGTGTGTGTGTGTGAGTGTGCACGCGCACGCGTAGTCTGGTCTTCGTTCACAACAATCGATTATCACCACCGGCATGTGAGGGGAGTGTGTCCAGCTGACCATCGGGACATCAGCTGACCACTGTAAACAAACACAACACAGCTGGTGGTGTTACCTTCAGGTGCACAAGACACTCTAACACCTCTCTCTCTCTCTCTCTCTCTCTCTCTCTCTCTCTCTCTCTCTCTCTCTCTCGTTACTAATACACACGATATCTGTGACCTGTTCTTGGAATCGCTGAATAACATCCACATAAATCTGCACAAACATATTAACGGACATACACAAAGGAGCATCCCCTCCACACACACACACATGAAGCATCCCAGTCACAAAAACCATTAATTTCTCACAAAATTTACCTCGTATACAAAGCCAAGACCATTACAGCCCAGCAAGAACCTGTCCACAACACGCTGCGAGCATCGTGGAACAGCTGTTGTCTGGCCTCAAAAAAGGTCTTCTAAAACATTATTATTATTATTATTATTATTATTATTATTATTATTATTATTATTATTATTATTACTATTTCTATTATTTTCCTTCGGCTGTGAACATATTATATTCAACAGTCACAGTGAGGCACCACCTGGGGTTCTATCTGATGTCCCAGTTGATTATAAATCCCAAAGGATCAGCATTAAGAGCGTGGAGGAATGTGTGTGTGTGTTAATGTACAGTCTATGTGTACAGCCTCACTTACCCCATGAATACAAATTTAATGTACATTTTGTTCTCCATATTCCGTTCTATCTATCAATATGTTATGTCTCTCTTTCTCTCCCTCCCTTACACACACACACACACACACACACACACACACACACACACACACACACACACACCTCTTCCCTGACCCCATTATCACAACTCAACAAGATCTTTTTTTACAAACACCTCACAAAGTCTCAGTAATTTACTATCTACCTCATCACCTCCCACGAGAGCCAAAAATTACAGCATACTGTAGTGTAAACAAGATTTAACTACAGGACTCCCCCAAAAATGTTAATCCCGCCACTGGAATATGTAAATACTGTATTATGTCAATTTTATTTATTCCAGCAAAATTATTTCTAGTAAGGACACATATATATGAGTACGATTATAATGTTTAAATCTTCGTTATTTTCCAAGACGACTAACCACTACCGTCAGATACTTCATTAACATCCAAATTGATTTTTTTTTGCTTAAATTTTATGCCTGAGTTTTGCAAGTTTGAAATTAAGTTCACATAAAAATTTCGCCAATTTACAGGAGGGTCAACTTCCTCTCTACTGCTTAACTGAATTTTTGAATGAGTTACTAATTTGGGCAAAATCTGGAACAAAACTCACATGACATGGAAACATCAACACCCGTCACCTGCCGTTCTTGAGTCCGTCTCACTACACCTAACCTAACCGACGATGAGACATTTCCACGGACTTACAAACATCGGCCAGTCCTCACTTCACTCCACTCCGCCCCACGAAGTCAAAGCAATAATAATATACTGCTTATTTCTGGTAACTGAGCCCCGACATATACCACGAGACATTACAGCAGAAGACACTTTAAAACTTGATAACCTTAACAATATTACAGACACGCTGGTCTTATTATACGTGAACAACACCTCGTAAGTCTTTTTCTGGTTAGTTATAATAAAACCAGTGTCTTCAATTATACTGCTTAAAATGGGTCAAATAATTTAGTTACTTCCACCACAGTGTAGCGTGAGTCATACTGCTTCCCGTCCACTACACTTCAACTGATGGGAGATGGTTTACTCCAGAGGCTGACCAGTACTTGTCCAGTCCTGTCATCAAGTGCCAGTGTTGAGATAGAGACATTAAAAAAAAAAAATTAAGGTGTGGTAAGGTTAGGTTAGATTAGATTATGTTAGGTTCGGTTAGGTTGCGTTTAGTTAGGTTAAATTAAAGGGGAAAATCATAAGAACAACTGAGAATCATCTTTGTGTTGTGGGTAAAGTGAGTCAGGTACAAGAGTCAGGCAGAAATAAGCGGATTGCGGAACACACACGTGTCCGGCTCATACAAACGAGTGAGAGCAATGGTCGGTACAATTACCCGGGAACACCTGTACAGTACAGGTGCGGCTGACCTGCACATGTATTCCCATCTGTGTTAAGCACGGGGTTAAAGGTGTTCAGAGCATATATTCTCAAAGATATATTTTCCCCTGTACGTTAATGTGAGGCCCCACCTCCATGCTAGGTACATTGAAGCTACGACACAAAGATGGATTCTCAAAGGTTCCTACATTAAATCACTCCCACAAATGACGCAAGAACGTGTTTAATTGACCCACTTAAGCAAATTACTGAAATATTGTTTCAGAATCAATGAAATTACAGTGAGGCTCCTCTTAACTATACTGTACGTGTTCCCTACACTGTAGTCGGGGAAAGAAAAGTAACATAGAAGCTTTTGAGAATCCACCTTGGTGTTGTATGTCAGGTGAGCCAGACGCGTTCTCATAAGAACATAAGAACATAAGAAAGTGGGATACTGCAGGAGGCCGACTGGCCCATACAGGGCAGATCCCTTTCACACCCATCCCAGCACTTCCATGTGCCTATCCAACTTCGTCTTGAAGCTCCCTAGCGTCCCCGATCCTACTATAGCACTCGGTAGTCTATTCCACATATCCACAACTCTATTACCAAACCAGTGCTTGCCTATATCCTTTCTGAATCGGAATTTATCTAATTTAAAGCCATTTGTTCTAGTTATTTCGTTATTACTGAGCTTCAGAACATCTTCCATTTTACCCTTGTTAATCCCACTTACCCACTTGTACACCTCTATCACATCTCCCCTAACTCTACGCCTCTCTAATGAATGTAAGCCTAAGCTTTTCAGAAACTATAAAGAGGAACTTAAAGAACCCACACAGGAGAGGCGAGGATCACCCGCTGTATACTGTGAGGACACCAGTACTCCACGGTCCTCACGGCTAATGAGTCGGGAGCTTCAACTATCAATAATAAGAATAAATAATAATAATAATAATAATAATAATAATAATAATAATAATAATAATAATAATAATAATAATAATAATAATAATAATAATAACTAATACTACTACTAACAATAATAGATAAAAATCAGTAATATCATTAAACTTAATATAACTAGCAATTTAACTATTTACAGGTAGCAGGTGATCAAGTAGCGTATGTAACAATTACCTATTAAGACGGTACAGGTGTTCTACAGGTGCTGTACTCAAACCACCTGTTGTGACGGAACTAAAACAGTGAGCTTGTTTCAACTTTAACCAAAACAATGATCAATTATCGTTACTGTAGAGTCTCAGGGCAATTAAGACGCTGTTGAGGACGCCATCTTTGCTTCGCTAATTGAGTGAGTCAGTCAGAGTGTATTTCACGTCTCCAGTTACGAGAAAAATATTAATTTAGGAATCTGTGAGAACAAGGACCGAGACAGGCTGGTGAGGGGCGGCCTGCAGACAGTCAGTAAGACCTGTACTTGTACCGGCCCAGGACATACCTGTATATAAGTGGGAGACAGGAAATACAGGTGGTAGGGAAGGCTCGTACAAGGTCAAGACAGGTAGTGATCAAGATAAAAGATGATGTACATAAACAAACCCACGTGGTAAACAACATTAAACAATAACAGTTGTGGATGACTGGAACAATTTACCAAACACCACCAATAACAACACCAAGTTGGACAGATGTTTGAGTGGTAAATATCGGATGTAAACATAAAGTCAGATAAGATTCATAAACAAACACAAGTACTAAACAAAGTAAGTCAGATAATAAACACAAAAGTCAGCTGATACACGTAAACAAACTCAGCTGGGGTACATAAACAAACTCTCGTGTCGAATAAAAATAAATCCAGCTGATGAACCTACACGAGGCGCATCTGATAAACGCAAAAACAAAAACGAGTCAGCTGGACCACATCAACAACCCCACGTGCGGCGACACACACAAAAGAAAATCCACCTGATAGCCAAAACAGAAAGTCAGCTGATAAACGTAAACAAACGTCAGCTGGAGCATATCAACAATGACCCACGTGGTGCAGGACGACCCCAACACGTGCTTACCATCCTCTCCCCCACACCCTCTCCCTCCCCACCATAAACCAGGACGCCCGAGCAAAATGACCTTAATAGCGTCGTTAGTGTAAGATATATCCCTGGTAGACGTACGAGAACTCTTACTTCACACAACATTCCCTCGCTGGGGGCATCAGGAAGGGTGGGGGGGATACACACTCTGTAATTGGTGTATTCTGGGAGTCTAAAAGAGGACACAGGCTCTAATGATTAGGTTTATTGGGGGTGGTACATCATCCGTAATGGGGTCTTTCTTCCAGGCTACAGGTGATGCAGAGTCTGGAATGGGTGGGCGGTACATCTGGAGCCTGGCCGGGATACTGGAATGGGTGGGCGGTACATCTGGAGCCTGGCCGGGATACTGGAATGGGTGGGCGGTACATCTGGAGCCTGGCCGGGATACTGTAATGGGTGGGCGGTACATCTGGAGCCTGGCCGGGATACTGGAATGGGTGGGCAGTACATCTGGAGCCTGGCCGGGATACTGGAATGGGTGGGCGGTACATCTGGAGCCTGGCCGGGATACTGGAATGGGTGGGCGGTACATCTGGAGCCTGGCCGGGATACGTAATCTGGGAGACTAATGAAGATACAGACGTTACAGTCAAGTGTGTTTGAAGGTGTAGGCTCCGTAATGGATGTGCCGGGGAGATTCTCAGGGAGACTTAGAATATAATGGATGTGTCTGAATAGCTAGCGGTGATAAAGACTCCCTACTGGCTGTGTTGTGAGTCTTAGTGTGACACAAGTCTCCAAGTTAATAAATTTGTATTGGACCAAAACCACACTGGATATCACATAAAGGTAAGTAAAAGACGTATATACACTCGCTATGTAATAGAGTTCCTGTATATCAGCGAGGGTCTTATACCACTACACTGTATACTATGAATATTTAAACATGTATACCTTGTGTATAGTATATATCTTCAGGTCTCCCTCACATAAACTGACTTGTATCAAGCCTCTGGACAAGACCCTCAAGTATAAACACAGCAAGTTAGAATATAATATCTATCCCAAAGTCAGTTACCTAAATTAATACATAAGTCTCAGATAAATTATCACCAACATAATAAATATATAATCATTTTACGTACAGCCATTAATTCCAACTCAGCAGTAAAGGTGTAGGCAGCTGTCGGCCCCCAAAGCAA